TCTCTGCCCCCCTAGACGACGCGAAGAGGCCGCCCAAGGCCCCCCTGTTAGGGGACTTCCTGAGCCAGGCCAGGTCGAAGGAGCCCGGAAGAAGCAGAGGCCGAGGCAAGGGCAGGGCGCAGGGCAAGAGCTACAGGTAGGGCGGGGCATGGGTGAGCGCGAGAGACCGGTCCGGGACATGTCCATTAAAGGGACACGGCACTGCTATTTTCATATTTCGGGGTGAGAGAATCGGCGTTGAGGAGTGCATTTGAAACTGCAATAACAGTAACGTGCACAGTAACTTCTAAAGCCTCCAGTTGGCAGCACAAAATAGACTAAACTTCCAGGTATGCAGCATGCCATGTTGTGCGATTCAGAACGAGGCATCAAAACTTCCGGTGATGTGCAGTGGCCCTTTGACGTTGTCAAACAAGCAGGCTTTTGAATACATCTCTGTGAATCCAAAAGAAATATTGCTTTCAATTTTGAGATGGTTTTGCCCACAGATACTGCTTGTTAACTCTGCCTGCAGATCACGATAGAACATTTCTGCAGTGAAATATCTGCTGCACAACCTGTACTTATTCCTTCGTGCATCACATTACATTTATTGTGGTGACTAGTGAGCAGGAGGGGTCACGCAATTTGTATTTGTGGGAGCTCAAACTTGAGTTGAGGCGACATGGCGACCTGCAGCACTTTCACAAAGTTCATGGTTTGGTGCTGAATTCGAAGTTTGTCATTTTTGTTCCTTAACGTCAATTAATTTATTTGGTACCAAGGATAAATAACACGTCTGAGAAATTGGGGCTCTGCAGTTCCCCTTTAAGCAGTGCCTTGCCCCAGTCCTATGCCATTCTAGGGTGTGTGCGTGTGCCCGCGCGCGCTCCCTCACTAACTGATAACTGGGCCAACACCAAAAGTGTTTTCTGGCCAACAGTATGCATGACGATCGCTGGGAGGACGACAAACCTGAGAAAGAAGAGAAGAAAGAGGAAACTGCCCCCAAGAAAAAGGTAAGGCTTTCCCCCTCCTGTACTGGAGGGAGGGTTACTGAGGGGAGGGGGGGTTGCCTTTTACTTTTAAAGCATTGATTCAGAGAGCCTAGAGGCTCCAGTACCTGTTCCACCTGCACTGATGTTTTAGGACCTCTGGGTGTGACGTTTCAGCTTTGAAAGGCCAGAGGATGTGACCCTCATTAGCCTTGACCAGCGGAGACGAAGGATGCCTGGTGGGAGTATTTAATGTGCTGTACGGTTACTGACGTAGTCAGCTCGGGGTATTGCATCTGGACAAGCAACTAGGGAGAGGCTGGATGAGATCCTAACTACTAGACAGGTGACACGGTCTCCTCTTGCCTGTAACTGTTTCTGCTGTCACAAGAGTTCTCTTCTCTTTCATTCTTCCCATGTGGGTCTTCCAGCCTGAGCCCAAGGATCCAAACGTCAGCACCAAGAGTGCACCAGAGGTCACAGGTCAGGAGGAGGATGAGGAAGGATGGGAGGACACCAGTGACGGGGCGGAAGAGATCGTGGGAGAGGTGTCCGAGGAAGAGGAGGAGGAGGAGGAGGATGTAGAGGAGGTGGAGCAGGAAGAGAAGTCTTCTCCTGCAGCCTCAATCCCGGCCAAGCCCCTTGAGCCCCCACACCTCTCCTCCCCATCGGGGAGCCCGAGGGGACGGCAGCACGCGCTCCTGCCCAAAGTGCACATCCCCGAGCCCCAGGATCCCCAGTCCTTCCAGTCCCCGGAAGCCAAGCCTCTGAGCCCCTTCTCCCCGCTGGAGGGCCACGAGCCCGTGCGGGACTGGGGCGAGGAGATGGAGATGCAGTCGCCGCGCAGCAGCCTGGGCGAGAGCCCCCTCAAGCCGGACGCCACCCCCGAGGGGAGCCCTGGCCCCCAGAACCCAGCGGGGCCTCCCGACGGCACCCCTGTCCCAACCACAGCAGAGGCAGAGGACCCAGAACCCAGCGCCCAGACGGAGCAGGACAGCGGGAGGCCGGAGCCACAGGACATCCCAGCAGCCACAGGTGACTGACGGGGCACGGTCCTTTCTTCTGTCGCCACGTAGGGCAACGCCAGGCCTGCTTGTACGTGCAGAGCTTGCAGGGGCCTGTCTAATGGGAGCGATACATGCTTACACAGAGCAGGTGTCAACAGCTGAAGCAGTTCAGGTCACACATTTGATCTTATTTTTAACTGTGTAATGATGAAGCTTCTTCATAACAGATCGTCGTGCAGCAGGAAGTGATGTGTTGCAGGTTCTCACCACCTCATAGTTGTGCCGTAGCTCCTGAAGTGGATGATTTCAGTCAGCTAGATAAGGGTGTCATTAGCGAAAGTAATGCAGTTTTTTTTAATAGCAGGAATCTTTTGTGCATCTCCTCCTAGACACTGTAATTGATGGACTGTTGATCAGAAAACTGGTTGTTCCAGAATCTTGCACCGATACTCTAGGACTTTGCTGCTTTATCGAGTTGCTGCTTAATGGCAGAGACACATGACCCTTTAGGACCGGCGGGTCTTTATTACACAGATGAGCTGACTTAAATCAGTTTCACAGTATCCTTGAGCCCTGCAGGACCTGCTGCCCCATTGTGTCGCTAAAGAGCTGTGTGTGTGTGTGTGTGTGTGTGTGTGTGTGAGACGCGGCGCCAGGTCCTCACTCTCCACTCTGCTCTGTCCCTCTGTAGACGGACAGACGAGGGTTCAGGAGTCTCCCGGCTCTCCGGGGGGCCAAGGGGAGCAGGGAGCAGAGCACCCCAAGACGACCAAGGAAGCAGGTCACCTCCCTGTGTCAGAGCCCCCCAGCTGTCCTCCAAGCTCCCAAGGTATGGGTGCACTTGGACCTGGGTGCTCATGGGGGGGATAAATGCAGATCAGTGATATTTTCAGTGTATGCAGTATATTTTTATGTCTGTTCAGTGGTTACATTTCCTTTTCATTTGTGGTAGGGATAGAATCATTCTTGCTGCCTTGCTGGTGCACACGATGGGGAAAAGCTCTTTTCCCTAATGTTGTGTTGTCGACGTCCAGCGAATAGCAAAAGCTTTGGGATCAGCCAGCCCCAGATCCTAGCAGTGCCTCGCCATCAGAAGACTAAAATCAAGCACATCCCTCCTGAAATGAGATTTTTGGGTATTTCCACCTTATCTTGGGGAGACGTAGTGACCTAAGATTGTTTTTATTTTTTAATCAAGCCCAAACCCTCTATGAACAGGAGTCCTGTGACCTTCCTGTTGTTGACACCTCCTCTCCTCTCTCCCAGCTGACCCCGGAGCTGTGTTGCCAGACTCCGATCAGACCTCGGACCCGACCTCCAGCGCGGGCCCTGGTTCGGCAGAGGAGCCAGGGCAGCCAGCCTCAGGTGCGGTCCAAATCACCGGGTTCGAGAGCGTGGCTTTCCGTAAAAACTCGCTCACCGCGGCTGAGCTCTGACGGCGAAGGTTTCCCCTGCATGTCCGTGTGGCGCCGCGTTGACTCGGGGGGAGGACAGGGGCTCTCGCACGTTTTTACAACTCGGCTTGTGGATGAGCTGACCAAGCCTACCTGTTGACTCACAGACTTCTGTCCTCGTAACGCCTGCTCACGCTCTCTCTCTGTTTTGTCTGCAAACCCGTATTTCCTGGTGATCCAGACTGTTTGGAAAACCTGATTTCCCAACCGCGCTGCGGGCGGCCTCTGGGAGTGGAGAACCGAGAGCTTCCTCTCCCGAGCTCGGATTCTGCTTCGGACTTTGGATACTAACCCCACCAGACCCGTTCCTGATTCTCAGTCCTGGTCGTTATAAATGCTTTTTGTTTTCTTGTTTAATTTTCTTAATCAACACACCATTATCCTGTTTCCCTCTTGGCACTTCATGTTTGCTTTTTGGTTTCTGCTAATGGATCTGCTTTTCCAGAGCTCTGTGTTGTGCTTTGGGCTGTGTCTTTTATGCGTCTTTTTCTGTTCCAACACCTGGCTTTCCTGGAAAGTGCTGAATAAGACAACCGCAGCTCGAGAAATGTTAACAAACATTAAGAGAAGAGGTGGAAAGTTGTTCACATCAAATTAGCCTCATCAGAGCTACACCGAGGGGCAAACACGGATCTGTGTATTTCAGGAGGCAGAGGTCCAGTGAGTTTTCAGGTGCCTGCAGGCTGCCAGTCAGTAAGTTCTAGCTGACACTCAGATGTCAGTAAGGTGTGGTGCTCTTCCAGTTGTTCTGAGTGTCCCATCCACCCCCTTTGGGGTAATACTTAAAAGAAAGGCAGGTCTCTGGTAGAGGGGTGTGTCAGTGGAGCTTGTCTATAGATCCTTTATCATCCTGTGCGGGTACAGGAGTCACTACTGGAAGGCCAAGTAAAAAAAAGTTGTTTACAAGTTGGGTGGTTATATAGCGGATTAATGCTAATTTATTCCATCCATAGTCGGGGAAAGCCCTAATCTTGTGTCTGTTTTTGGTTTGCTTTTTTGGTTGCTGACAAAAGTAAGTTGAATAAGATATACATTTTCAGTGAGGGTGGCTGGTCCTTCAGGCCGAGGTTAAAGGTCACACTGAACAAGCTTGGAGGGCTGGGCTGCATTTCTTCTGAATGTTGATAGATCTTCTGTCGATCAGCTAAATGGCAAGTTGGGTTGAGGCTGTGGTGTGAAATAGTGTAGGAGTGCCCTTTAGAAAACATTATTGTGCAGGTTATTTTTCTTCCCTCGTTTCAGTTATTCCTGGTTCTCAGTCCTGGTCCGAATATGTCTAAGCACTCCGTTACCGCCCCTTCCCTCTTTTTGTGTGGGCTTTCCCATCTTTTGAGAGAAATTGTTCCAATAATACAATATTTTATGGAGAAGCTCTCGAGTGAAACAATGTATATCTAGTATCAGCATTGCGCCATCACGTTACACGAAGGTAGTTGATGCACTTGAAGAATCATAAAAGACTGATGGATGAGAACTCCTAAACGGCCATTCCCACTTTGCTGTGGTCATTTCGTACAAGAGCTTCCCTTAATTGTTATATCGATCGGGTTGAGTTAATTAAGGAACTGGCACCAGAATCCTGCAATGCAGTGTCCTTGAAAGACCGCAGAGTGAGCATCACTAATGGATCAGCCGGAAGAACTTCGTAGTGGAAAATACAGCACTAATTTTGTTTTTTTTTTAAGTCCGGTACAGTTGTTTTGCAATCTCCAGCGATCTGATGGTGGTGTATGTGAAGCCGCCATGGGCTCTCTGGTCTTTTTATCTGCTGCTTTATAGTACAGTCATTAGAGCCTGCAGTCTGGTCTGGTTTTTTTCCTAGAAGTCTGGAATCGGCCCTGATGCAGAGCTGCTTCTGCCGTTAGACTTCAAAACGCTTTTAACTACAGGGACTCCTGCTGTGAAGGCGCACTCGTGCTCGATTGCCTTGAAATGACAAAATGCACTGTCGCAAAGAGATGGAATTATGATGGAGGATAAAACCATTCAGACTTGCCTTTGACTCTCTGCCTCTTTGTTTGTGTGACTTAGAAGAAAATGAAATGACAGCCCAGCAAGATGGACAGATCCCTGTAGTTTGTGACCTACTTTTGGACCTGTGTTCATGTTCCCAGCTAGGCTAATGCTCATCATTGGCTGTTAAACTCCATTATCGAATTAGAAGTGGCACTGAAATCGAGTATAAGAAGAGTTGTGGAATGCTGTATTGTGTGATTATTGCTGTAGTTAAGTTACTCCACAGTGACTTCTTCCCCCCCAGCAGATACAGTTAATCAGTGGTGGCTCGTTAGCTGAGGCACGCCCTAATTAAGGGGGTTTCTTTTAGTCTCCACTTTCGTTTGACCACTTCAGGTGATGACCTAATAGAAATGTATTGTCCAGATGACATCCTTTCTGCTCCTTTCGTTTTCAGTACAAGAAAGAGGTGTGACCTTTAGTCTTTAGTCTTTATTAGTTTGCGGACTCATTCAGAGCCTCGTTGCTGCCTGTCCCAGGCAGGGGGCTGCCGCACAGTGGTTTCCTGTTCTCGAGCTCGGGGACGGTCAGAAGAAATGACCAGTGGAAAGGGAAAAGGAGCCACCTTACGTGAGAGGCCTGCTTTCCAGACATAATGCCCTGCAGGTTCCTAGCACATCACAAGCGCTGCTGTTATTTGCAGTGCTTCCATACGTCCCATGATGCACATCAGCGTCTGCATCAGGCCCCACATGATGAATGTGGCTAATATGCATTGGCTAAAAGCTATTGGGTTTATAATAGTATGCAGGAATTGGCGTCAGAGTTATGTATTTTGCCTCCATTATGAAAAATTGCACTGTGGGTTCTGGCGTCCAGCACAGTCGTTCTCCTTTAAGTGCCCTGTATTTGTTGAGATGCTTTTATGCGTTGCTGTCCCATTAATTCCAATATCAGTGTAACTGAAGCCCTAATAAACAGCGGTTTCAGAGTACTGCTGCTTAATCATCCGATTGCTGCCATCTATTAATGTCTTCTTAATGCCCTACAAAGTAAGGCGGTCTGAAAACCTTCCAGTCAGCATGGTAGCACACCAGTCACGTTTGTTCACTTATTATTAAACTCCCATTTTCTGTGTACAGTAGGCAAATGGGCTTTTTTTGTGTTACACAAAAACCGTGTACACCCCCCCCACTTACTGAAAGCAACAGGAGGCCTGTAAGAAGCTGAACGCTGTTGTGTGCATCAACACTGTTCATGTGCAAAATTGATGTTTTGGACACCTAGGCTGACGGCAGGAAAGCCCTGCAGGTCCAGGGTTTGGAGGTGCTCATTTCAGTGTGACTGGCTTTTTAGGGTTAATCTGTCATTCTTCAGTGTTGGCAACAAAGGTAGAGGTTATGGAAAGAAAGGAATTGTGGGGTCCCTGAAAAGTGAAAGCAAACAGGAGTTTGCAAACAAGATGAGGCACTTCAGATTCTGTTGCTCATTTTCTCGCACGTGGTTTCATGTTTCTGGAATTCAGTTCAAACCCTTTCTTCAAGAATCCCCTGGAGGCGGATCCCACAGCCCCCCTCTTTGTAAAGATGCCTTTCCTGTGTTCTGTCCTGAATGCTTCCCCTTTGTGCTGTTGCTGATCTTGACAAATGTCCTCGCTTTGCTCAGGACCTTTCAGGATGTCAGTGCCCGAGTCAAGTTCGATTCTGTTTCGGGAGGAAAAAGATTCAGTTCCCTTAGTCTGTCTTGAGTGTGACACTGCCTTCAGGCCAGGGATGAGGCTGCTTTTTCTCCTTTGTTGTGCCTCAAGGGCTGCAGTACTTTTCTCATCAAGTAGCACCCATTCCGACAGTCGTTCAGGTGGGGAGCTGCGTCAGCATGCGTGGGCTGCAAAGGATCAAGTAAGAGGTTTATTCCATGCTGAAAAGAGAAGGAAAACGCAACGTTTCGGCTGTGGAGCAGCTTCTTCCTCACACCTGAAGAAGGATCCACGGCCGAAACATTGTGTTTTTTCTTCTCTTTTCAGCATGGAATAAACCTTTACTTGTTCCCATTCCAACAGTGCTGCCAGCGAGGTCTAGCTGTCTCTGTCGTGTTCCGTGTCGGTGCCCTGGCTTGCTCTGAACATGGAATTGTTTTTAAAAAAAAACCCAGACAAAAATGTGTTCCAGCGTTTTGCCAGCCTTTCGACCTCCACGCCCCTGTGCGGAGGTGTTGAGCGGAGAGGTGATCGTGTGTGTTCTCTGTTCGCAGGCTGAGAGAGGCTCCCCTCGCCTCGCTGGAGCTCTCGGAAGGCGAGAGAGAGAGACGAAGCTTTGTCTGTGACGGATCGCCCGGGCTGCTCTGGCGGTCCAGGGCTGTGCATGCTGCAGCAGCTGGCTGGGCATCTGCATTTAAGTTTTCATTTTAAAAAAAGAAAAAGACCACCTAACGGGGCTCTTGAAAATCACTGAAGTGACCTGCCGAATTGTATTCGTGTTCCCACAAAAACCCGGCCCCTTCTCAGGCGGAGGATGGAGACCAGAAAGCATTTTTGTTTTTAATAGAAATTAAAAACTTATTTATGGTTTGCAGAACAAACGTGGTAGTTCCACTGTGATCAGAGAGATGTTTAAATGCTTACACACAATCATGGAGGATACACATGAGCCCATTGGTTCACTTTTGTGTACCTTTTGATTCCTGAATGTTTTATTTCCTAATTTGAGTTTGTTTGCATGACTTTTCTCTCTAAAAGCATTGCTGGTGTAAGCAGTACTATGTCATTTATTACAGAATTGCTGAGAGTCATTGTTTTGGCCTCCGTTTGTCACAGTTTTAATGGAGAAGTTGCTGCGTATTTTCTTTTGATGTTTTTTTTTTTCCAGGAAATGTGTTGCTATGCAGCTCCGTTTTAGAAAGATGAACACCCTGTCTCGATGCAGATGACACCATTAACATTTTTTTTTGGGAGGCAATATTAAAATTTCCAAAGCAAAGAAAAAAGCTTGAGGAATGTTTCATCATTGGCATAAAAAGAGTGCGTGGAGCAGTCTACATACATTCGAAATTGTCACCAATTTTATTCGCAATACTTCACCTTATCGATATGTAAAACAAATACAGCCAAATGGTCATTGAACATTGTTACGGAGGGTTATAAAAACACGTTTATATACATGTGTCTAGACAAGAAAGATTAATATCTTTCTTTACTAGCTGTAGGTGATCACTGCGGGTGTGGGATGGATGTAAAAGGTACGCCTGGAGAGGCTTACAGTAAATCTCTTTCTATGCACGTCTGGTTTATACGGCGTTTGTAGGCTGCCTGGGGCGGGAGAAGGCAGTTCTTGTTCAACTCGTGCTTCTCCCTTGCCCAGAGAAGTGTGCTTGATATGTGCATGCTCCGTCACAAAGCCCTTCCTGGGCAGGAAGGTTTCATGTGCACAAGTTAAACTTGGGGATTGCAAGTAGCCTGCTAGATTTTCTTTTGCATGCCAAATACTTCTACAACACTTCCACTCTTTTTTTGAAGAACAGGCCCCCAAACATGATTGCTTTAAGTATCAATGAATGATATAACTGCATATCACTTTGTAAATAAAAAAACATACACAGTTTGTGAGAGGAGGCATCCGTGCTGGTACAGTGCAAAGAGCTCTGCTTTATTCGAATGAGCAGTTCTGACATTGAGACCTTATAGTTGTATACAGCACTGAGCACAAAACTGCATCCACATGTAGAACTGTCTGATAGCTGTGCTCTGCATTATGCATGGTCTGACATAAATGCTCCTACATCATACATAATGTTTGGGAAAACAGGGCAGCTCCTCTTTTTTTTGTTTAAGCTTGTTTTAAGCGAGGGTCTCTAGTTGGAAACTATAACAAATTGGGATGCATCCTCTGCAGATGGCTAAAATATAAGCACACTTCTCAGAACCACTGTTCAGAAGTCTTATGATTTTTACCTGGGGGAGGTTTTCACTGGAGTTTTTAAGGCTTTTTTAAAAAATACATTTTTAGATTACATTCCAGTTTTAAAGTCTTGGAAACTGCTTCTTTCACAAATGGTGATCTAGATAGAGGGCTTTCTACTTGTGTTGTTTTTTAAATTTCTGAAAAGATCTGCACCAGCTCTGAGACTTTTACTTTGTAGAACAATTTTAAAATACCTTTGAGCTTCCAGGGCTTTCTATCTAGGTTTCTAGTTGACTGGGTTCCAGTCACCAGTATGAAACCAATTTTTAACACTTTCAGCTCTGAATTTTTGCACTTGTTGGGAATGTATACTTTTTTCCCCCAATTATTTTGAACCTTTCTAGACCAGTATCTGCAGTATTAGTCATCAATGTGATCCCCTCGGCACGACCGATTCATACTGAGTGTGACTGGAGGCCTGGGTAAGATCATCAGATTGGCAGGAGAAAAGATGGTGTGTTTATTTCTCTTTGTCACCAGCCTGTGCTTGGTTAAATGCACCACAGCAGGTGTGCGGCGCTTTTTTTAAGCACTGAGTTTACGGTCAAGGTGTTGCTCGTGAGTATTGTCATCTATTCCTTGTTCAGCTGTTGAATTTTTAGCTCCTGTCAGAATTCTGCATGCTTTTTTCCGGCAGCCCCCCAGACAGAGGCAGTCCCAGTTCTGTAAGAAGGGGTGAAAGTGAAATCCATACGACTGATTAGTGAGACCTGATCCATGATGCCTTAGTCCATATGTGGCCACTGGTGAACACTTGTGACAATACATTTTCCAACATGTCTGTTTTCACCCTTTTAATGAAGCAGTGCCCCTTTAATGCAAGTATGTAGACAGACATACCAAGGATTTATACAGAATATGAATATATTCTATATGCTGGATGAATGAGATCCTGCTTCATTAAAGTATGTTTTTCATAGTTCTAAGCTCTAGGGCACAACATCAGCCACCATTTCTGTTCCGGGGGGAGCCGGATGCAGAATTTCGGTAGGAATCTTTCGGGATGTTCTCAGCCCAGCGAGGCCAGTGTCACCAACACGTGATTTCATTGTTTCCTGACGCCAGGCATGAGCTCAGAGTCATTTGCAGTTCTGAGTAGCTCGAGATGGAATTCAACGTCTGTTCTCCATGGGCGAGACCTGTTAATCACACTTCCACTGGTTCCTATCCTCTCAGCTCAGTCACACTCGCCTGTTCTTGATTTTCGCAGGCCCCCTCCTCAGTGGCGGAGAAGTGAGGGAGTCTGGCTGAGCTGACTGCAGATTATTCATAGAGGTGTGACTGGCAGGTGTCACTTTCATCAACGGGGGGGCGGGGAATGTCATCTGATTTGAACAGTCGTAGCACATAATTATGATGTGACACTGGAGCAATAGCCAAACGTCACCAGCTTCTTGTTTGTACCCGTGTTGTGTATCAGTCTCATACACCGGTCGAACTGTTGTGCATTGTGAGTCTGATCTGTTTCCCCACTGGTGCTTGGCAATCATGTTCAAGTTCATTTCCTCCTTCCAAAAGCACCCTGTGTGAAAAATCTTAAATGCAGAATGACAGTCCTGCTGTGAATGATTTCTCCTGATGGGCACTGAAAACAGAATGATCTGGGTTTACAGAGTCATGTAAAATAAAATAAAAATGATTGGACTGATTTCTTTTTTTTTTCTTATTTATTTGAATGCCTCCTGTGTCTGCATACGTGTAGCATGCAAACCTCATTCTGTGTTTTAAATGTCCAATTTAAGGCTCAGGATCTTTCAGTGTGCAGTGTCTTGGTACAGGGGGAGCCTGCAACACTGTTCTGTGACCTGCATGTGATCTCCCCTGAATCGTTGAGCACTGAAAGGATACATGCCCTTAGGCAAAGACCTGAAAATCGGCCTCAATGAGCGGGCCGAGAAAGTGGAACTCGTGTAACGTAGCCCGTTAGGCATCTTTAAGATGCTGATCAGCCAGTGCTGCACGTCTCTGGAGTTTCTTGCTCCGCTGCGTATTTGGCAAAGAAAGCTGTTCGGCAGGGAGCCCTGTCGGCGTTGTGCCCAGCTGGATTCGGAGCAGCCAGTCGTTTCTTTCACAGTTCGGCTCGCCTACAGGGGCGAACGAGGAAGCGCAGGTGGACTCGGACCCTGCCCCCCTTCGAGCCACCCACCCACCCACTCCCTCTCGTTGCACGTAATGGGCATCGCGGAGATTTGGCGCCGTGTCGCT